TTTGTGCACGGCTCGCTCCTCCCCGGGGCAGCGCAGGGAGCTGTCGGTGCTGCCCGGGGAGCCTGCACCCGTGCCAGGGAGCCGTGGTGACGCATCTGCCAGGGCAAAGGGAGGGACGGCTGAGCTGTGGGCACCTGCCTGGCCCCTTCTGCAGCCCCGTGTCCAAGGTCTGGGCAGTAAAGGGTGATTCACTCTGGAAGGTGAGAGAAGTCAGCTGCAGCGCAGCGTCGTTGCTTTGGGACCTCGGCACCGGCCCCCGTGGGGCTGCAGGCGTTTGGGGAAGGTGCTGAGCAGCTCTGCTCCGGGAGCGCGGGCACGGACGGGATGGGTGGGAACGGGCTGCTGCATGCACTGACTTCCCTCTGCTCGCTCATGTTGCAGGAGCATGAATGTTTTCCCGTCGGTTTAACGAGCATCCTGCAGCTACCTGAATCCTACTTGCTGTTTCATTTTCTGCTTTTCCAGGTGTATTTAGTGCCTGGTAGCGGTGGTGGGGTGAGCTGTCCCCGGGCAGAGCGCTGGGCACCGGTGGCATCTGCGTGCGTGCAGTGGTGGGGTCACAGCCCCGGGCTGGCTTTGTACACTTTATTTACAGTGTCCCGAGGAACGATTTCCTGGGGTGTTGACGTGTTTTTCAGTGTGGATTTCCTCCTTCCCGCTGCCAACTTGCTTGGGGCTGGAAAGTGAAACAAGATCTCGTTTGGGAGGGAGCAAAAGACTTGGAAGTAGCGACGAACCGGTTAATAACAACAGAAGGAGGGGGGAGAAAAGAGACTTCAGCCCCAGGATTTATTTTGAGACAAAGGGCAGCGCTCGGCGCTGGGAACGCCCTTGGCTGGCGCGTTCGCCGGCGCTGAATCGAAAGCGGAGCTCGGCGGCGGCGAAGATAAGAGGGTCCGTAGGGAGCAGCGTGTGTCTGGATCAAACCCGGACTTCGCTTCTCACCGTGAAGCCCCGAGAAAGGAGGTCAACCTGGAAGTGTTATTAGGGCTGTGAGTTCCCACCCCCACCCCCGACCCCCGGGTCTTTTTTAAAGCAGGAGGTTTCGGAGCTGTCGGAGCAGCTTTCACTCTGGGGTGGTTTTTCTCCTTTTCCCGAGCAGTGCTGGCGGCGGCCAGGGAAGGCACCCCGGAGCGGGTGGGCTGACCCGCGCTGCTGTCGGCACGGGAAAGGCAAACCACGTTCTCACTGCACGACTTGCCTGGTAACCGGTGTCCTGGCACTGAGGTTTGGTGCCCATCCTCTTCCCTGACACCCCGCGTTCCCCCTGGCACGGCCCCGGCTCTGCCCGCGCAGCTGCAGGAAGAAATCACGGCACGGCAAAGTAACCGTGTCCCGGATGAGTAACGCAACCAGCGCCGCGACTTTACACGCCATCGGGTGCCAAATTGTTTTATTAGCATTCACACACACACAGACTTTTTGGTGTCAAATCCACGACAGCGCAGGGCTCGAGGTGTCTGTGCCACCCACCAGAAATGCACCCCGAGACGGGTGAGGCTGAGCCACGGGCACCCCCAGTGAGCTCTTCCCTGAGGGTCTTGGAGCCTTTTACAAACTCCGACATCCACAAGTGGGGAAACTGAGGCACAGAGGCTCCATCAGTGACCAGGTCTTCTGGTGGAGAAATGGGAGCAGTTGCCTGCCTGTGCTCTCGGCTCTTGCCCAACTCAGTCTGGTTTCTCCATCCCTGGCAGCTGCAGACAGCGAAGGTGGTGAGGGCTGGCAGGTTACGGTTGTGACTTCAAACCCCCTTGATTAAAGACACCCCCCTCCTCTTCACTCCGCCGCGCTGTTCTGCAGGTATTCCCCAAAAAATCTGTTTGTAATGTGTCCATGAGCTCTCAGCTTGGCGAAGGGCACGAGCCGGGGGGTTCTTCCAGTCCCTCTCCGAAACGAAAATGCTCAGTTTCTGTGGGTGTCGCGCGTGTGGCCGTTGGGTTGATCTTGGATGAGGCTTTGAGTGACCTGATCTGGGGGAAGGTGTCCCTGCCCATGGCAGGGGGTTGGAACTGGATGATCTTTGAGGTCTCTTCCAGCCCAAACCATTCTGTGATCTTCAGGACTTTCCATCAACATCAAGTTTAGAAAAGCCAGGACCTGCTCTTGCACAAGGAAGCAGCGAGGCAGCTTCGCCGGGTGCTGAGAACATCTGTGTGAGTGTGGGAATGAACCCGGAGTCTGCGGGGGCGGGGGGGATGGGCCAGAGCAGGAGCTTCTCCTGCACCCACCGCCACGGGCGCTGGGTGGGTTCGGCTCCAGCAGCACTTGCTGCTTGTTGTCGGATTTCCAGGTAGTTTGGGAAACTGAAAGCTCTCTTCCAGTTTGGCGCGTGCCAAATGTGCATCAAATTCCCCGGATTGTTTTGCTTTTCTCAGCCTCTTGGTTGTTTTTTTGCATTAAGCCTCCTCTGAGCTCACGCCGGGGACTGGGCAGGGTGACATCAGGGGAGATGTTATGGGGTGGGGAAGAGATGAAGCATCAGGACCTGGTGACCCTCCTGGAGCACCCTGCGCCTCTCCAAGCAGAGCTGGGACCTCCAGGGCACCTCCCGGGCCGGGGCCAGCCTGCCCCCGGGCCAGCTCTCTCCCCCCGACTGTCCCGTCTCCCGTTGCCAGCGCTGCTGGGGTTCATCTCCAAAAACATCCACCCACCAGTCTTCTCCCTTCCAGGAAAGAGGAGTGACCCGTTGGCACTGAGCCTGGCTCTCCTGGCCAGCCTGGAGGCTGCTTTACCCGCGCAACAAATGGGAACCCCCCTCCGGGCCGGGGGGGCTGCTTTAAATTCTACTTCATAGAAAAACTTGGAGCCACCTGCTCCGGCTCCTGCAGCCCGGGTTGGCTGGCTCCCCCCCTGCCAAGGGCAGCTCCAGGGATGCAGGAGCGGGATGAGCCCGGTGCTCCCCAGGGGGGACGTTTCAGGCTGGTGAGGATTTGAAGAGCCCCAGGTGGGTGAGAAAGCAGGAGATTGGCATGAGAGGGGGAAGAAAAAGGGACCATCTCAAAGGGGGTTTTGGAAGGGTGGTCGTGCGCAGGGGGATGGGGCCGCGCTGGAGCAGGAGCCTGGAGGAGACAGAAGCTGGTGAGTGGCAACAGCGAAC